AAATGCATGCTGGTTGCCAAGTACCCAAATTTTGATCACATGACTATGAGAATGCTGCAAAGGTAATAAATGTGAGGACTGATCGTAAGCCACTTTTTTCAGTGCCATTGTAACTTCAAATGGCTGCTAAATGAATGGCTGTAAGTCAAGGACTTGTATTACCTCTATGCTTTATTTTGTAGCAGCCTCTAGACAGTCACTATTGTAAACAAGGTGCTATGCATGACTTGTTCTGAATCAACCGCATTTTTTTATAGTCTTGAATTGCACTCAAAATTTGGGGCTTCTACCCCATGGAGATTGCCCGAGCTAAGCTGTATCTTGGGTGAGATTACATAGTTCTTTATGTGCACTATATGCTGACTTCTGATCTAAAGTAAATGGAAAGTGAGGGAAAGGTGAAAGGGAGCAATAGTCAGTGAGTCCTCTTCCCCTAGGGTTTGTCCTTGTAACCTAGAATTGATGCTAAATGTTAGACAGTAGCTGGCAAATGGAGCATGAAAGGCTGCCACTTTTATTATAGGGCCAGCCTTTGATTTCACATATTACAATTCAGTTTCATGGGATTTGGGTCATATGTAATGGAGATTGGCAAGTACCCCTGACCGCTTTACCCAGAATGAAAAGAAAGGGTGGGATGGAACAATGTTTTCCAATATACCTAAAGGAACACTGCTTTCTGCTCTGATACCTTGCTGCCACCTACAACAATCCGCCAGTTGAGATGGTTGCATCACCCTCCCCAATGTTATTGAAACAAACAGAAAGGCAGGATACACACTGACTGAATATGTGAAAGGTAGGACAACTGCTAACCTTGTCCTCAAATCACTGCCTCCTCCTTATATTCACATTTAGCTGTGTGGCAGAAACATTCTAACATCATCAAGTGTCTGGATGAGCACAGAACAAAACAAAGAGTATACTAGCATTCTAAGCGTTTGGGATCACATACTTTATTTCAGAGATAGACTTCTCGTGTAGCAAAAGCCATCCACAGACAGACCAACCTACATGTATACAGCAAGAATGGATCAAGGACCAGCATATTTGACAATCCAAAATAGTCTCACCCAAGAGAAATGTTCTCAGAACTATGGGATATAAGAGTTGAAGTCTACTGCCGTGTTTCTCCAACAATAAGCCCCTCCAATAAGAAAGCCCAGCACTTTTTTATATGCATGTGGTGAAATTAAGCCCTGCTCTCAAAATTTGGGCCTATTTAAAGCATGTGTTCCCTGCCATTTCTCACATCGCTTGAACAACACGAGGTGAAGAGAAATGGGGGGAAGGATGGGGGGAAGGGTGGGGGTGGTGGAAACTTGCCATTAGGAGCATCCCGTGGGCAGCCTCGGCTAGAGCACCCCGTGGGCAGACCCGCGTCATCACCAGCCACTTCTATTGGCCATTAGGAGTGTCCCACGGGAAGACTCGCATCGCCACCAGCTGCTCCTAACGGCCGTTAGGATCGTCCCGCGGGCAGACACGTCTCGCCACCAGCCGCTTATATCAGCTGTTTGGATCATCCCGCGGGCAGACTCACTTCACCACCAGCCGCTCCTAACAGCCGTTAGGAGCGGCTGGTGGCAAGGCGAGTCTGCCACAGGACGATCCTAATGGCCAATGAAAGCAGCCTGGTGGTGAGGTGGGGCTGCCCAAAGGGCACTCCTAACAGCCAATAGAAGTGGCCTGGTGGCGAGGAGAGTCTGAATGTGGGGCGCTCTAGGTGAGGATGCGCGTGGGGGGGAAATTAAGTCACCCGTCAAAAAGATGGCCTAGCCATTTTTTCGGGGGTCAAAAAAAATAAATAAGTCCCAGCCTTATTTTATGAGAAACATGGTAAATTGGTGGCCATCTAGTTCCAGATTAAGAACCTCCAATGGGCAATGACCGGAGACCATCATTATTTATCATGTTTCATTGCTTTAACACTTTAATCAGTAGGAAATTCTTCCTAATACTCAGTCTGAACTCTTTAATTTCGGTCTGTTGATCTCTAGTCTATTCTCAGTTTCAACATTGAATTGGGCCATTTCCAAATGGATGTGAATGTCTTTCAAATATTTATATACAGCTATCCTATCTCCGTTTAATATTTTTTACAAACTAGTAGTATTTTGCAAACTTGTGATAGCACAAAACAAAACAAATATAACTTCTAATATAGGATCTCTTAATATAATTTGGTAAAATTCTTTCAACCTCCAATATCTCACATACTTAACTTCACAAGCTTCCAGAGTCACTACAGAAAGGACAGACATCATCAGGCAACCTGGTGATGGCAGTCATCGGTTTATTACAGCACAGGTCCCTAAAAGTTTTATGCTGTTAGGAACACTTGTCCATTCACAAAATGGCTGTAATGGAAGAACGTAGCCAGTTATAAAGCACTGATTTACAAGCATGTTACTTACCATCGCTCTCTACCCACCTCATGCAAAATGCTCTCACCTGATTCATTTTTTGTGTACAAGGAGAAATATCTCTACTCTTAAGTAATGAATTACACCTAATCCATACTTTTACTTCCTAAGAAATAAGATATACATATATTTTTGAAATTAATACTGATGATGGATAAGGATACTTTCTTTGCTTTGGATTATGCCAACTTTCCATTTTAAAAAATCTTACTTTAAAAATTAGATGTAATTTAATGTAAGTTATTGGAGCTGTGAATAGGTACCAAGAAAGGTGTATTCTGAAACTAAAGATCACAGTAGCTTTTACTGTCCAAACTTGTTGAACTACAACTGTTCAACCTTCCTGACGAATAGGTTCATATATGGAATCCATTTTTGTTGTTCTGAATTCCCTGGAACTTGAATGGATTTATTGTTCACAAAAGCTTGCCTATCAGATATGTCCCTTCTTCAATGACATTCACCAAACAATACACAACAATTAGACTATCTTCCAAAGTTCCAGTATTTATGCCACCTCTAATTAAGAGGTATTTGACTTTTTCAGGGTGCATCTAAGCTTATACTGACAGGAGCCAAGTTACCTTTGGCAGTGAAGTACTTATCCATGCCCATTTCTAACTTGCAGAAACTTAACTCACAATTCTTTTCTATGCTTATCTATATATTGTTCAGATTGTGCTAACCTATGGCATGTTTTAATAATGATGACACAGTACTCTAGTTCACATAATTTCACATAATTAATAAATCACATTTTGATTTGTTAGTTACTAAATTTATTAAATGGGCAGGATTCACATAATATGCTAAACTAGGCCAATATGATGTTGGATAACTGGTATTTCAGCATGTTTTGGGAACCCAAACATTATCTTAGAATATTATATGAATTAAGACAATCCACAATAAGCCAGCATAGTTTATTTGGGCACTACATGCTGTATACATTTATACTGCATTAACCTGGATTTAAGGATTAACATGGTGAGTGCACCCTGTCTTGTATAAATCCTACCATAATAAAATTGAATCATGATTTACAGTCACTCAGTTCATCATACTGAGCTGAAACCAAACAAACCTTATTATGGCCTCCTGCTGTATATAAACCTGAGCAATCTCACTTAGATTCCATCAAAAGTTATATCCCTGCATGTACTATTTTTTGTCTGGATGGGAGTCCATTTCTCTCTCAATTCAATTGCCTTTTCCTGTGGAAAAGCAAAAGCCCACCCATCTCTGATCTACCTTGGCAAAATGGGTCTTAGTGTCTGGGAAATTATGCCTGTGATGCCTTTTATTCTTCTGATTTGTTTGGCATGGGGTGGTGGGAACGTAGCTAATCAAAGAGTCCAAAGGGGAAGTGAGGGGGGAACAGATTGCAATGGTGTATGTTCCTTTATTTGTGTCAGTGATTAATCCCACCACTACACACACACACACACAAGGGGGAGGGGGAGAGAGATGCATAGCCCCAACTAGGTTGATGAAATGTGAGAAACTGAGATTTCACATCAAATGTGTTATTCTTACTAGCAGCAGCCTGCTGCAAAAGGGTCCATTTATATACCTTCCCTAATTTAGTGTTTCATAAAAGCCATGCTTTTCAAAAAAGAAAATGAAGAACAGTGCGTGTATTCCCATTCTCCTTTGTAAAATCAAGTCTCTTCAGCATCTCTAAGTCTGTTGGATTGTCAAACAAGAAAATGCTGTTTGAAGTCACCATCCTTTCCCTGCTTCTCCTATTCCTGGTTTTTGCACATAAAAAAGAGGGGGGAAAACATTGGTGAGATCCATGATGGCACTTTCAATCATGACATTGGTATATTTTTCTAAAATCATCCTTGTTGATATATAACCTGCAAAGGCAATTCACTAATTCAGTTCTTAACTCAAGTGAAAGGCTAATCCTATCAAAAGTATCCCTGTTTCATTACCTCTAGGATAAAGTTTTGCTACATTCTCTCTTCAATATTTAAATGCACAAACAAAAGCCAATATAAATGCTTTCCTAATAGGTTTTAATGAATTAAGGGGACATTTGTTTTAAGCATTGCAAAATCAAGGCCTTACAAGAATAGGCATTTGTGAGGATCAGATGAAAAGGTCCTCTTTGCCTAAGAGATGTAGGCTTTCCCAAAATTAAGATGTAAACCTGTAACATGGAAGCTATTTCAGATGCAAGGTGGAGATTTGCACATCTGAAGGTTCTCCCTGCAAAATCTCCCTTGCACAAACTTCCCCATCTAGAGAAGTGTACCAGAGAGAATCTGTGGTTTTAAAATGTCTTCTGGATAGGCTACTTCCTTTCATCCAGAAAATTGTATTTAATAAAGGAACAGCAATTCTATATGAAAAAGGAGACTTCCCAATTATTCTCACTTAGAGATCTCAAATAGGTTTACTATAGTAGAACAGAGGTTTTTAGTCTCCATTGCTATTTTGTGAAAACTAGGCCCCAAAGCAGATCCTTGGAGTTTTCATGTTGTTAATAACAACCATGTCCAAGGACCAACACCAGAATCCAGGTGTGTTTTACAGTCACAATAAATACTAGATTCAAAGGCCTACCTGTATTGGGGCTGTGCTGAAGTGGATCTTGCGATTAGGAACAGCCTCATCCTCTTCTGACAGCCCAGGGATCTCGACACAGCTAGATTCCGGTGCATACAGTCCATCACCATCTTCATCTTCATCCAGCCCACTCCCTCCCGAATCCTCCCCCAGTCCACTGTAGGCACTAATGTCCACCAGGTCAGCCTCAGAGAAGTCCTCCTTCTTAGACTCATCACCCAGGTCATTCTCCTCTGGTCCTTCAGCCTTGGTCACTTCCTCACAATAAGTGTCTGCCAATGGGCCTGGAGTTTCTAAGTATCTTTCACCACCCAGCTGGCCATTTTCCAAGGCCGCATGCACTGTGACCTCAGCTTGAATCACCTCTGCCCTGAGAGGGTCAGATCCCTTAGAGACCTTGCTGTTCTCATCTGCCACTGCTGCTGCCGCCACTGCCACCTCAGCTGCCTCAAACTCTTGTTCAGAGTCCCCACTCTCTTCCACTTCCACAGGCTTGATCTTGCGCACTTCTTGGACCTTCTGAGGACGTAGCCCCATGTTGGAATCCTTATCCCCTGGCTTTGCTGCTACTGACCCAGTGGGAACCAGCTTGTTTTGGGCTTTGTCAGTCTCAGGCAACCTTGCTCTCACTTGGAGTGCAGGCCCATCACTATTCCTGGTTTCCACCTTGGCACCTCCTTCTGGAGCCTGGAGGAAAACCCTGGACCTTTTGCTAACAATTTTGGAGTTGAGAGGCCCAACTTTGCCAGGGGCTTTATGGAGATTATTCCTCAGGTCAGCCTTTTCAAAGACAGCACTGAGTTGGCTTACAGTGGGAGACACAGCCTCTGTGTCTAGCTTGTCCAGGGATTCTGTGCTGCCATTGAATCTCACCACCACATCCAACTTCCGGTCTTGGAAGCCAGCTCTCTCTTTCCTCAGAAGCAGTTTGTTGGTGGTCTCCTTCTCCTGCAGGCTCCTCTCGAAGATCTTCCGTGTCTCCTGGAGCTTGGACAATGGCTTATCTGTTTTGGAGTCAAACCGGCTCACCCTCTCAGATACGCTGGTGCCCAGTTTCAACAACGCGCTATGGTCCACATTCTCGTTCAGACTGCTGGCCCGGGGCAAGGACAACCGGACCGGCTTCTCCTTCATCTTGGCCAGATCAACTGCTCCCTCCCCTGGTGGAGGCGCAGTGCCCATTTGCAGGAACATATTTTTGATCCGATGGACATTGGACCCATACTTCTTGTTCCTGGCTTTCTTGGCCTCCTCACTGTCAGCTTGGCCCAGGGCATCCTTGGAGGCTTTCAAAGCTTGGATGCCAGCTTCGTAGGCGTTCCGGTGAGGTGAAGCACTCCTCAGGCTGCCTCCAGCCCCATTGCCACCGGTGGTGCTGCCCCCACTGCTGCTGGTGCCACTGCCGCCAGGAGTATTATGGGACTCAGTCTTCATCATGGTTCACCAAATCTTCTGGTGTCGCTGACACCACATAGCCTCAGGCTTCCTCCACCCCCCCCACCCACCCCCGGCCACGCTGCCTCCTCTTCCTCCTTCACCTCCAGCAGCCGCAATAGAATCACATCGCGAGAACCCGAAAGGGGCAAGGCGGCGCGGCACGCTGCTTCTTCTCTAGCAGGCAGCGTTCATTGTGTGTGAAGGAAAAATGTGGCCAACCGGCGGTGGGGGCGGCGAGGAGAACCGAATCCAAGGAGCTTCTGACCCACGGCGGTGGCAGCGGGAAGGCAGATCCTCCGAAGGGTCTGGATTAGCTGAGGCCCATTGCAGCCGGCTCGTCGGATGTGTTACACCTCCCCCTTCTTCCCCCCCAGCCTCTTCCTCCTCCTCCTCCTCTTCCTCTCCCTTCTTGTCGCTTTCGCTCGCTCGCTTTTGCAGCGCGATGACGGAGACCAAACCCTTCTGCAAACGCCACAGCCTGTCGCTCCTTTAAAAAAAACAGTGGAGTGGGGGAGAGCAGAGGGCGGGGGGGGGGAAAATGAAGAGAAAGAAGGGGGAAAACCTCTGGGTCTTAAAGTGATCACACTCTTGCACCTCCCTCGTTTTCTGCTATGGCAGGAAAGGAAGCAAAAAAAAAAAAAAAAAGGGCAGCGGCGCGTTCTTCCTCTCTTTTTCTCCGCCCCCCAACCCCCCGTTGCTTTCTCTTTACCGAATAAGCGAAAATGAGTCCATCAATCCAATTGCAAGAGGAAGGAAGAGATGCGGTGGGGAGGGAACCTCGGCTACACCAGCTTTTGGATTTACCTCGCCGATGAATTATTAAAAAAAATAATCATGACAATGTAATCCAATCGCTTCCTCGTGTCGCCTTTTTCACGCCTTACTGGCGTTGGGGGGGTGGGGATGGGGAGAGGCGCGGTTTAAGCACTCGTGTCTACGCACACATATGCACCCACCTCACGTGTCTTTGCTCCAAAATTGGATTAACCGTGGACACCCTTTCCCAGATATTGTCCCACCCTGATATTTTTCAGCTCTTTAAGGGACAGTATTATCTCTGAATGGCAGCCAGCTTCACTGATGCTGCGGGATCCACCTCAGGGGTGGGATTCAAATTTCTTAACAACCGGTTCTGTGGGCGTGGCCTAATTTGTGGGTGTGGCTTGTTGGTTATGTGACTGGTGGGAGTGGTTTGTTGATTAGGCGTGGCTACATGGTCATGTGGTGGGTGGGCGTGGCCATGTGGCTGGCAACCCAAATTTAAGTGGTCCTCACTTAATGACCAGGTGCTCGCTTAGTGGCCAATTGCTTAGCAAGTGCTTTTGGCCAGTTTCCAAGGCCTGGAGAACCCTGAAGAGGGCGAGGCGAGGCGCGGGCAGCTACGGGAAGTGCTGCAGAGGGCTGGGCGGAGCCAACTCAACATCACTTCTTTGCCCCAATGACTAAGTATTAAAAAAGATATACCAAAACAAAAGGTAGTTTATTATGTCATGTTTTTAATGCTTAAATAATAAAAAGGTACACAAAACTATATTGTTACAACTTTTTAAAATATTAATCAAAAACTATTACATAACAAAACTTTACAAAAAACAAAAATTATTTAAAGTACTCCCCAATTGCTTTTCTATTATCATCCTGAGTTACAGTTTTCTGGTGTTTAACATGAGCATCATCAGCTATGTGATGATGTGCCCTAAACCACTTCTTTACTATAGAAACAGGGTCCCATTCTTGCAGAGATAAGCCAATTAGACTGATGGTCAGGAGGTTTGTAATATTGGAAACCATAAGGTGACTTCTGCTTTCTGAACGTATTATGTTCCTCTGTGAGAAGCCCCTTTCTGCTTCTGCTGAACTGACTGCAATAGTTTTAATAATATCTTTAGCCTTTTTTAACGCTGCAAGGAATTGTATAATTTTTAGAATCTTTTAGTACATTTTCTATGAAATCACGATAATCATTAATATTGATTTCATAACTGAAAATTTGACTAAATGCAACCAATTGTCCTTCAGCTGCTCTCCATGGAACCACCACTTCTTCAATGTTCCAATAATCTGTCTCCAAATAATTTAGAAATTTTAATAGATCAATGTCTTTAAATTGGCAGCCTGTTTTTAAATATTCGCAATCCATCAATCTTTTCTTCAAATTAGTTACAATGCTTTGTATAAGTTTTTTGCAAGGAAGTCCCACAAATCGATGATTTTGTATAAAATTTATGTTTTTAAAGGTTTCTGAAGTAATTAATTCATCAACCTCATTTTCATATGAACCCTTTTCCTCTATAAGCATTTCAAATGATCTAATTGATCTTAGCACAAGTTTTTCAGCCTTTATAATGTCTATGTTTCTCGCTTGCAATGCACTAGAAAAGAGAGATATTTCAGTTAGCACATCAATCATCAAGGCCAAATCAGTAAGAAAATATAAGTTTTCAAGACGGGCAGCCATACCTGAGTATTTTTTATTCGAACAGAAAAACTGATGTAGCGCTGGATAAAGCCAGCCACACAGCTAGGGTTGATCTTAAACTACAGGCAGCCCATCTTGGTCCAAAAACTCTACCAATTTTTATAATTTCAATCTCAAATTGTTCAGAAATTTTGTTAAGTTCAATTAGGTTCTTATTCTATTGATGGAAAATAGAATATATTGTATCAATAAAAATTTGAAAATGATTGATTTGCTTTATTTCCCTAATAGAATCATCTAAAACAAGTTGCAGACGATAGTTTAAACAGTGCCATATTATAATATTTGGAAACTCTTTGGCTAACCTAGTGCTTACGCCAGATTTTCTCCCAAGCATAACACTGGCTCTATCACAGCAAAATCCAATTAAATGTTTCTTCAGATAGTTTCTATTAAACCCAACTTTATTCAAACTTTCTATAACCAAACAATATATCGTCTCTGCATCTTGTTTATCTAATTCTACTAGTTCAAAGGAAACTTGTTGGTGAGAAAGCTGGACCTTCAACTTTTAAGTACAGTATAAGAACTGGTTTGGAAGATATTGTTGAGGCTTCGTCAATTATCAAACAGATTTTGCGAGTTTTCTTAATAATTTTGGTAAATAAATGTTTCCTGATATCTTTTGCAATGAAATCTACTATTGCAACTGCAGTTCTACATGAATACAACCCTGTTCCCAAATCTAAACCATTTCTTTTTTGTAACTCAATCAGATCTTCTATATATGAAAATGGTCTGCACGTTTGTGTCAGATTATACACTGTAATAAACACTCTACATTTACTACCCAGATATTTCTCACTCATCTTCTCCAGTCCTTTGCTTATGACATCCTGCTCACATTGCTTCAACTTCTCTGTACAGATGTTGTCAGCCTTAGATGAGAAATGTTCCTTCAATTTCTTTCTGAAGGAAGCTTGTTGGATTTCTTTACTCCTTCCACATGGTTCAATTTGGTAATTCTTCTACTCCTTAGCTCCGTGGACACTTTTTTCTTATTTCACTTATTTCAAATCTTCTGCAATACTTGCAACCTAATTTTTTATGGGAAACATCCAGTCCATCATATTTTTCCCTAAAATTATTGTACTGCTTGCAGTGTCCAACAGTCAGGAAGGTTCCCTTCAATGTCTGATTCAGCTCTTCCAGTATCTGATGATGTGCTGGCTCCTTCCTCTGGTCATGGTGTGGATGATGTGCTGGTTCCACTTTCTTCTATGGATGATGTGCTGGCTCTTTCCTCTGGTCCTGGTATGGATGATGTACTGGCTCTTTCCTCTGGTCCTGATGTGGATGATGTGCTGGCTCTGCTTTCTTCGATGGATGATGTGCTGGCTCTGCTGTCCTCAGGCTCCAATGGTTGTAGTTGTGACTCTTTTGGATCTCCATTTGTTTTCTTGCCGAAGAAAGCAGACAAACTCATTTGCCTTTTCATCTTGGCAATATGCTGCAAAAAAATCAACAGTGGTTTGGATTCGATAGTTGTTGTAAGTTGACCGGTGAATGCAGTGGCAAGTAAAGAAAGCAGGCAAGGAACAGTGATCAGTAATATTCAGTTACTTTTAAGAGTCCCTGACACTATAGTTACTTAGTGTTTAAAAGATGTTATGGAAGAGGAACAAGTTTCACCAGACAAGAATGAGACGGAACGGAAAGTGGATTTGAAAATGACAGTCTATAAAAAAGATGTTGCACTGTGTATATAAAAGAATGGCTGATATTTTCATAATTACAATTCATTAATTGAAAAAGAAACACTTAAAATGGAAATATTATTAACAAACCAAGGGAATTTGTTATTTTGTGCCAGTAGTGGCACAAAAATCTTGCCTAGCCAAGACTACTTACCTGGACCAACAGTGCCTAATGGAATGCTCTCTCTATAGCAGAGAGAGAGAAGCCAGGGGAAGCCATTATTTGGTCACCTAACCTTTTTAGAATGCAGCTTAAAATATACTGAAGCTTTTTACAGCCTTATGCAGATTTATATAGTACAAAAAAAGATAATAGTACAAAATCATCTAAGAAGTTAGATTACAAATGGAATTGATAGGTACATTCACAGAGCAATACTGAATTCTTTTTCTGAAATTTATTCCTCAGTTTAAAAAACTGGAATATATGAATTCAATATTGGGCACTGCTAGAGTAGCTATTCAAGAGGATGTAGTGTCCAGGTTAGCAAAAATGGTAAAGCAACATATAGATTTAAATTTTAAAACCAGAAATATTTTTGTTGGTACCCACATAAAGGGAGTACAATACATATTTAATGTTACGCATGTTAACAGCGGCTAGAATTGTTTGCACAATAGTAGAAAAACGAAGAGATCTCCATGAAAATGAAATTTAAAAATTGCAATGTGCAGAAATGGATAGAGATAAGAGGTAGAAATTAGGCATAGAATGATCATTGCTATGTACGAATTAAATACAGAAGGTTGATAATTATAAACATGTTGATATAATTAACATAATTAGAAATAAGTCAATACAAAGAAATTTAAATAATTTTTCTGTTACACTGCTGTACTTATTGATATTTGTTTCTGCTTTGCTTTTTCATTTATGAAATATTTTATAATGCTTTATAATATAAATATAATAGAATTACAGAGGTAAGGTAAAGTAAGGATATATTGTTATAGAAAAGAGTAGTGATGATGAAATGAACATTATAAAGTAGATTAAGTAAAAATGGTGATTTGCTTGCATAAAATGATGTAATATTAGTAGTGTAGTAAGTAATTAATAATAGTGATAATATAAATAGATATAGTGGATTTATGAAATAAGGATTAATGCAAATTAGAAGGAAAAGACTGCAGAGATTGTGCACAAGTGATTTGTACCAACCAATACACTATGTAACTGAAGATGGTTTATGTTTATGTTTGTTTTGTTTATGTTTAAAAAAAATAAAACACTTTTATTTAATCCATCCATTTATGTATGCAGG